CACCCTTGTGCTGAGGTCTTGGCTCCCTTTAATCTTCCATCCAGTTGGTCGCACTTCAGTCCAAACATTTGGCCCTTGTTCTGTATGGTGGAGAAAGAGAGCCTACAAGATTCATTGCCTTCTTGTAATAACTCTATATACTTGAAGGTAGTAATCAGGTTGTCCATTGGCCCCCTTTCGCTCTACTAAATTGCCCTAACTCAGCTCTTTCTTTGGGTGCCCCAGCTTCCTAAAAGAACCAACTAATTTTCAACCTGGTTGCTGATTTCTGAGCTTTTTAATTGTGAGAAACAAACAATACACTGACCAAAGAATATCCAGTGTCATTTTATATATTATGACTTTCAATGCATTTCTAGTAGTTTTTCCCCCACCGAGCACTATAGGATACTATTGTAGTCTATTGTGGGGCTTTTATTATCTGAATCCTTCTTCCCAAATGACTTTCTTATAGCCTGAGAATGTAATAAACACGATAGGGAGGGACACTAAGAGCAGGTGATTTCTCAGAGTCTCCCAGCCACACCTGAGCTACCCCAGACCACTTTGAAGCATGGTGGCTTGGGGTCTCTGTTGCACTTTTTATACTTTTCCAGGTGGAGGAAAGTTGGTCATGGTTCAAATCCTGCCATTTGGAATTGGAAAGTACATCTAGTGACCCAATATCTTAGATATTTGCCTTATTGGGATTTTTTTTCTTAAGAAACACTGCCATTTGTTGAACACCAACTACTGTTAACTTACGCTCATCATCACCCCCACTTAAGAGGTGAGAAACAGGGTAATAAGCATTTAAGCAACTTGCTCAGAATCCCATGGCTGGTGAGGAGGCAGCTGGAATATGAAGAGGGCTATCTGGCTTCAGAGTTTCTGGGCACATTTAATCACTGTTCTATTCTGCCTCTTGGACACCATCAAGTAAGGCAATTGGGGTTAATCCTTGTAACAGCTCCACATGCCAGATATTATACCTATTTCCACTTAGTGAAATGGAGACTCCAGAAAGTAAAATAACTTGACCAAACTTAACTCTTCTCTAGCTAAGTATGGGCATATCGGGCTGTAGGACCAGGTACAAGTATGCGAACCAGAAACGAGAAATGGATTTCTTTTTTATCAGATCTTAAGGGGCAAACTCAGTTTAGGTGAGAAAAATCGAAGAGCTCATTGAGTGATGGTATCCCCCTACATCTCCAGTATATACCAAGCAGGTGAGCCGAAATGTAAACTCTGCTAGCCCAGAAAAAGCCAGCTTCATTTTATGAATAATGATGTGAGTGCTGATTTCATCTAATTCATTTCAGTTCAGCCTGGCAGCCTCAGGAAATACAGAAGCCACACAGCCCTTCATTGAGGCCTGATTTCTGGAGGAAGCCAGTTCATGCTCGGGGAGCCCAGCGCTCCCACCCTTCAGTTGGCACACTTAACCCAAGCCAACAGAGCCCCTGAGTGCCTCTGGAGGACAGTGCTTCCTATCGCTCACCGCTCTGCATTTTTGTTCAGGGTGTCTGGGTTTAGATGAATGAGATTTACATAGCTTTAATAAATATTAATAACCATTTTAATCTCAGTAAACCTTTCATATGAGACATGCAAATCTCTTCCCAGCCATCTTAGGTGCCCAATGAGAGTGAAGTAATTTTGCAAAGCTCTGCCAACTCTTCCAGGCCCTTCGGGCCCCATTTAGGCTGGGTCTGTGTGACAGGGAACATGTTCTGGGAGAAAACAAAGAAGTACTTAGGATGGGCATGCAGGCAGACCACACCCACTGGCCCATTTTCATTTTCAGGTATTGTACTCCTGTCTCTATCTTTATCTATCTACCATCTGTGCTCAATTATTTTTGTAGGGGGATGTTTTATAATATTAATAATAATACTAGAAGTTAGTATTTATTGGGTGCTTACCATGTGCCAAACAATGAGTTGTGTTCCTTAAGTGCATTTTTTCATTTGATCCTCCCAACTGCACTATTAAATAGACATCACTATCATCCCTACCTTGCAGATGAGAAAACCGAGTCTCAGAGAGGTTGCTTGTCCCAGGTCATATAACCAGGAAAGCATGTGACAGTACCTGGGTTCAAACTGAGGTTTGTTTCCTTTTAATGATCTTTGGCTGTCAATGGGATAACCTGATCATTTACCTTCTTGTTGAAACCAAAATATTTGGAACAAATAGCAGTGTATAGTTTAAAAAAAAAAATGCCTCAAGTAGACTTAGCCTGTGTGGGTTGGGGGTGAGGGTGGGAGGAAGAGAGAAAGAGAGAGAGGTTACTTCAAAAAACCTAGTGAGTAAGGCAGCTATAAAGTGAATTTTAAAATCCCTTTCCATCCATCCATAGGATCAGGCTGAATGAGCTTTACATTCATGAGCCATTAGAGCTGAGGTGTTTCAGGGATTACCTAGCTTGAGCTTCTTATTTTACACTTGAGGAAACTAAGGAACAGAGGACTGTAACTTGTTCAAGGTTAACATAATCATAAACATTTGGATTATTCTCTCGGATCTTTACTTCTTCTTCCTATTACTATTTGTTATGACTTCTTAACACATTTTGAGATGCAGTCGGACCAAATGCTAATACAAGGTAAGATATTTTGCGATGATGTATTTTTTTTATGTGTAAATCACTACTTAGTGTCTTAGCAGATGGAAGTTCTAGAACACTTACAACAATTAAGCGCAAATGAAGTCAGTATGATTATTCTCCAGAATCATCAAAATTGTCCTGTTCCAAAATCCAAAATGTGAACATGCCATTCTCAAAAGGTCGGCTGTTTTCTCAGATATAAGACTGATGCCCTGTGTTGATGGTGTGTGTGTCTCAGAAGGAATTCTCCTGTGGAATTCTCCTGTGGTCGATGGGAGTTTGTATATTTGCACACTGCAGGACAGTGGATTGCACAATGGGCTCTTTGGTGGCAGGGACCTTGTGTTAACAGAGCAGAAACGTGCAAACGCATCCTGGCCCTGGGGCAGAGCTGACCAAGCTCTAGACTGATAGTGTTAAAACCCTGAAATACCTCCTCAGGATTAACTTGCCTGATCCCAATTTACCAACCAGAAAATAGTCAGTGGTTCTAAGGTATCTTAAAATATTACCATTTTTAAGAGGAGGAGGAATGATATGAAGTAATAAAGGACCACCCTAGAAATTCCTTTTAATTATACTGGGGAGGGATTCTTTGGTATATATTTTTTAAATTTTTTATTGTTATGTTAATCACCATACATTACGTCATTAGTTTTTGATGTAGTGTTCCATGATTCACTGTTTGTGTCTTTGGTATATTTTTAAAGTTAAACCCGTGTCTCCCCAGGGACTGTAAACATTTCCATGATGATACTTCTGTGAAGACCAAAGTCACAGGTGAAGTTTTGGAGATTGATTCATGCATTATTTCTCATTCAGATTTATTGGATATTGTGCCATGTGCCAAAGAGATAAACATGAAAGTGACAGTCTCCTGCCCTCAAGGAACTTGCAGTCTTGGGAGGAGGCCTAAGAAAGAGTACACAAGTAAACACACAATTGCAGTGAAGTCAAGTTAAGACAACTCTCTCAAGTCAGACTACCGGGGCTCCACGCCCATTCCATATTTCATTAGTTATGTGATACTGAGTGAGTTACTTAATTTCCGAAAGTCTTGTGTCATCAAATGTGACATAAGGATAATAATAATGTCTTTCATGAAAAGTTCTCACTGGGTAAATGAGACAATATATATAAATGCTCAGTGGAGCATATGGTATACATATCCCAAAATAATAGCTGTAATAGCAATGGTTCTTACACTCCTATTGCAAATGCTTTAGTGGAAATAATGAACAAAGAAAGGGCACCTAACTGAGAAGGGTTGGGGCGGAGGAAAGATGAAAATTATACAGAGAAGAAGCATGAAGAGGAGTATGAATCAGTAGGCAGACTGTCCAGGATGGTTGGAATTGGGATAAGAAGTGGCTGGTCTCTCCTTTTGGTGCCTGATGAGGTAGGTCCAAAGGCTTGGAGGCATGGAAAAACCTCATTTACTCAAAGCAAGGCCTATACTTGCTTCCAGCTGGACCAGAGACCCACAAGGGCAAAAGGGGACACACAGCAGGAGATGTACAAGGTGCATCATAAAGGGCCTTACTTTACTTTGAAGGCCTTGCAGGTCACTGAAGAACTTTAATCAGCAGAGTGACATCACAGAATTTTGGAAGGGTCACTCCAGCTATGATGTAGACCATCAGAAGAGAGTAGATCAGAGGCAGAAATTCAAGTGAGAAATGATAAGAATCTAAACCAAGGCGATAACAACGGGAGCAAAGAGAGGGGATGAGATGTGAGAGGTTCTTAAGAAGAAAGGGGTGAGACTTGGCAATTAATTGGATGTGAAGAGCAAAGGCCAGAAGCATTTCATGATGACATTCAGATTTCTGGCTGGAGAGACTGGATAGATGGAAAGGTGGATATAGTACGGAAGATGGTGTGTTCAGTTTGGGACATGTTGAGTTTGCGGTTCTTTATAGGATTTTCAGGGAGAGATGCATTTCTGGCACTCAGAAGAAATATAGGGTATTAAAGTCATGGATAGGATCCAAGAAATTATTTATGTGTTGAAAACACTTGATATAAAGCCATCTACTGAATCCATTTTTGTTGTTTTGGTTGTTAAAGATGAGAACACGAAAGACAGAATATATGGTTCTTCTAGAAGACCAGCTTTCAACTTTATTAAAATAAATGACCCACTCTGATGAATAGAATAATGATTTCTAAGGTGTCTTACAATTCTAACACTATGATTCTATTGTTCCAAACCACCGCCGTGAATCTGGAATTGCCTTTTGATGATGGTAATCTTGTGGCCTTAAACCTTCCTTTGTGGCTGGATGAAAGCCCACTCGTCACACATTTTTTGCATTTTTAAAAAATGAAAACCATACAGCCCCAAACATGCACTGAAGACGCTTATGAAAAAGAAGAACCAAGTAAAGATGCTATCTACATTTACCTACTCTGATCCCAATTGGCTGCAAACAGCAGAAGAATCTTCCTGCCATAGTGATCACGGTTTTCCAGCACTCCAGGGAAGCCGTCAATGAGAGCCCTCTTAATGCCGGGATCATCAGCCTTGAAGTTTTTGAACATGTCCAGGTTCAGCTGGCGGTACTGAAAGTACTGGGCCAGGAGTCGGAAGGCATCTGCTTGGTGAAACTTCCTGGCTCGGAGAAATCTCAGGATGAAGGCATCATCTGTACGTAAAAACCCAATGTCAGGCCTGGTGATGATCATGTCCCTGACTTGCTGGATATCCTGATGTAAGACATCTGGGTTTTCATTCAGTTCCAGGCGAGCTTTCTCTATAGTCTCTGGACTGAGTCCAGCCTGTAAATGGGTCATCTTGGCTGAATCTCCTTTCCAAGTGCTTAATTTCTGATATTTTGGAAGAAGGGAGACTGGTCCCATTCACCTGACGGTCTGCCGAAATTGGGGCCCATTCAACAGTTTTGTTACTACCAAGCTGCCATGGAAACAAACAAATAGAAGGTCTTTCTGTTCTTGGAAAGCAGTAGGACATTCAGGTCTTAGGTGGTGGTGGCCATCCAAAAAAGAAGCAAAGCTGAGACCATTTCTTACTGCAAAACAAATGCACACAAGAGAGACAAACAGTGATGATACAACATCTGGGCAAATTAACTGGAACTGAGATAGAAAAGCAGTATTGTGCTGTGGGTTTGAGTAGATGAGGTCTCCGAAAAATAAAGGGTAAATTATCTTTAAAATGGTGTAATAGGCAGACTTTTAGTGTTGAAGTCCTGGATGCATCAAATACTTGAAATATGTTTGGGAACTTTTTAGTCACACTGATCATGTTAACATAATAGTGTATGGTCAGATTAGTAATAGGTTGCTCTTTCATTAAGAAATGGTGAGAAGAGAGAAAGATCCTTCTCTGCTACAGCATGCTTTATGGGGTTATTCACAGACCTAGAAATTATGGCTGCTGTACAATTTATTGCTCCCATTAGCCTCTTTTCTCAAACAGAAGTACCTTTCACAGAAATACCCCCTCCCCCCACCTTTTTAAAAGGCAGTCATTTGCATCTTAACAATAAAAAGGGATTGTTACAGGTCACTCTATCGTAACCCCAAAGGTACCTAATTACTCAAAACTGAACTAACAATGGCCTAGGGAAGGGGAAGGGTGGCAGCCTTTTGGCTGGAAACCTGACCCTCAGTAATCAAATTCAACAACAATGAGAGAGGATGCTCACGTGTGGACATTACAAGCAGCTTTCTTATTTGCCTTTGTCACTCTTCTGTAGGCAAGGCAAAGGGACTTGAAACCCCGGGTGCCTCCCTGCTGACCCAATATCTATACAGGCTTAAAAATCCTCCCATTTTGGGCACCTGGGTGGCTCAGTTGGTTAAGCGACTGCCTTTGGCTCAGGTCATGATCCTGGAGTCCAGGGATCGAGTACCGCATCGGGCTCCCTGCTCGGCAGGGAGTCTGCTTCTCCCTCTGACGCTCCCCCCTCTCGTGTGCTCTCTCTCATTCTCTCTCTCAAATAAATAAATAAAATCTTTAAAAAAAATCCTCCCATTTTATATAACTTTCCTGTTGTTCTGAGATATCATTTTGCTTATGATAATGATGGTTTGAATCTCCTCAGATACACCTCTTATGACTTCTACACCAAAATGGTACACAGAGGAACACCTATATTATTTGCACCTTTCTCATTTTAAATATAAATGCTCTCAGACATCTGTTTGGTCTAACCCAGAAGTTGAAAAAATCAGAAGCCATACTAGGCTTCTTGAACTTGAAGGCATGTGTTTTTTTCCTAGGTTTACAGTGTTTACAATGAGGGGCAGAATATTTATTCCCAAACTAATTATTATTGGTACTGTTTTATCATACAAAATAATTTAAAAGACAAAATTATTCTTCTGCTTAATTTAGAACTACCATTTAGTTCTTTTTTTTTTTTTTAAAGATTTTATTTATTTGACAGAGAGAGACACAGCAAGAGAGGGAACACAAGCAGGGGGAGTGGGAGAGGGAGAAGCAGGGTTCCCGCGGAGCAGGGAGCCCGATGTGGGGCTCGATCCCAGAATTCTGGGATCACGACCTGAGCCGAAGGCAGACGCCCAATGACTGAGCCACCCAGGCGCCCCTACCAGTTAGTTCTTAAGGGAGACCATCAACTCACACATTTCTGCTTTATACTGTGACATGGGGGAGATGAGGAACAGTTCAAGTAACTGATATTCATCTTCAAGATAATGAAATAATAGAAATTTTATGTATAAAATGTTGGCGGTGTAAAATAATTTGTAAGAAAACACATTTAGTTCTATAACATGTGAAAATGAGAACTAAAATAAAGTCTGGATTTTCACTAATTTTAAGGACTTAGAATGGTAAATAGAAAATAATGCTATGAACTATTCCCAGGATTGGAAGAAACTTCCAAATCCATCTAGTTTGATGTTCATCTGATGTTAAAATTCCCTGTCTAGTAGCCTTACCACACCCCTTCAGAAAGTTCTCGAGTTTGATGTCTCCTCTTCCAGTTCATCCCTACACCCACAGCTATATGTCCTTACTGCTCCCACCAACCACTTGAGCAGGATGATCATATAATTTACCATCCAAATTTAGACATGAGGGGGCACTTATAATAATAATGATGCTGGAACAATAGCCATAAACTGAGATAAATCTAAGCAAACCCAGACAGATGGTCACCCTACTAGTGAATGATCTTTTTGTTCCTACATCCAAGAGACAAATGTCAGTACTCTTTATGAGTGAACTCTATCAGTATTTGATATTGATGACTTCATCCTTCTTAAAACTCTCTCTGCCATTCTCCCACGCATTTTCTCTGACTCCAGACACCCTGATTTTTCTCTTAGCCTTGTCGACTCCTGTTCTGTCTTCTCTTCCTGTGAACACTTCAGTGTAGTGTTTCCAGGACCTGCCCCATGGTTTGACCACCTACATGTAATGTAACTTCTGTGTATAGCTCTCTCCTGGTCTTCAGGCTACACATTCAACTGCCTTCTCAACAACCCCACAACGATGTCCTCTAGACACCACAAACTCAATGTGCTTAAACCTGAACTAATCCTAGTTCCTCATCCTGAATTCGCTCCTCCACCTCCATCTCTTAGTGACTGACATCATCTGCTGTGCCGTTTCCCACTCTAGAAACCTGGGAGTCTACTCTTATTCCACTCTCTCCCTTATCACCCATGTCCAGACAATTATTTCCATAATATTTCTTAAATCTGCCCGTTTTTTTCCATCCTTTTTCGCTGTCTTTGTTTGGGTCACATCAGTCTTTGTCCGTTTAGCCCTGCATTATCTTCCCTATGGTGCCCTTGCTGCCAACTTTGCCCTTCTCCAGTCCGTTCTCTGGATTCTAATTGAAATCTGCTCATGTCATTCCTTGATTGACATTGACCAATAGCTGCCAATTGTGCCAGGATAAAGTATAAAACTATGTAATAAGGTTTCCAAGACTCCTCATCATCTGGTCTTTATCTCTTTCCAGATTCACCCCCTGGCCATGCAGCTACACTGAACCACATGAAGTTTCTCCTCACCTCCTTGACAAAGCATGACCTCTGATGAACTCCTCTTCACCCTTCAGGAGTCATCTGGACACCATTTTCTCTAGGAAACCCTCACTGACCTTCCCAGGTCACTGGCAGTCCCATAGCCCCAACCACATCATTTCATTGCCATCTCCCTCTCTCCTTCTTTACTCTGAACTCCTTGTAGGGAAAAGCGGGATCCCACTCATCTGTGTATCCCCAATACAGTGCCTGGCACAAAAAGTGTCAGCCCATGAGTGGAGCAACTTTGCTGTGTTCACCATCTATCCTCAGTGCCTAGAACATTTTCTACCACAGAATGAGTGCCCACTAAGTATAGAGAGAGTAAGTGAATAAAGAAAGTAGTCAAAACATTGTTTCAATGAGTGAGTGGTTTCCCCTTCTGTTGGATGCCTCAGGAATCATTTTCCTTAAATGATAGCATTGCAGCTGACTTTTAATTTCCCAGGAGAATTTAGCCTAGGCACATTGTACTTCAGATCATTGCCTCTCTGAAGCATGCTGGATGATATTCACAGTTCCTAGCCATGACACAGGACGCTTAAAGCACAAGTCATAACAACAGCTTGTCCCCTTCAGAAGATTTAAAGGTTCTGGGAGCAAGTTACACACATTACAGTTCAGGGAACTCCACAATGTTTCTGAGATAAATTACTATGGGTTCAAGGGGAGAGCTGAGATTGCATTTTTCATGACCCACCTCCACACATAGCTATGCTTCCAATCTATAATATCGAAATAAATTTGCTGCAATTTACATTTTTATTCTGTCCTCAGCATACAGTAGAAGCTTCTGGGGAGAATACCCAAGCCAGAGTCACTTAGGATGAAATAGATATTTTCCATTAAAGGCAAATGCTTCACTTCAGAACTCTGAATAATCTGCTATTTAAATAACAACTTTGATAATATTTAAGGCTAAAAATGCAATGCCATTCAAGAATGTTCTCCAGGATATAGTGTTTTTACTTGACTGTCATCTTTTATTCATGTGAAGGACTTGGTTCTCATTCAACTTTTCTGAATTGGTCAAATAAGTATGAAAAGATACATTGGACTTGGTATCACATGAAGAAGTAGGAGTGGTTTTCTGTCCTAGTGGAATGAATAATAATAGCTTTATTTTATTATTTACTATAAGTATATTTATTATGTCCCAGACACTTACATACTCTCTATTTATATATTACATTATTTGATCTTTAGAACAACATAAAATGAGTGTATTATTGTCCCCATTTTTTAGATGAGGAAACAGAGGCATAGAGAGGTTAAGTGAGTTTTCCAAGGTTACACAGCTACTAATCATAAGAAATTGGATTCAAGACCAAGTAATCTTTCTCTAGTCCCATGCTCTTTTCTACTGTGCTGTTCTGCCTCTTAGGTGCAGCAAAAGGGTTCCTTTTTTTTTTTTTTAAAGATTTTATTTATTTATTTGACAGAGAAAGACACAGCGAGAGAGGGAACACAAGCAGGGGGAGTGGGAGAGGGAGAAGCAGACTCCCTGCTGAGCAGGGAGCCCGATGCGGGACTCGATCCAGGGACTCGATCCAGGGACTCGATCCAGGGACTCGATCCAGGGACTCGATCCAGGGACTCCAGGATCATGACCTGAGCCGAAGGCAGTCGCTTAACCAACTGAGCCACCCAGGCGCCCCAGCAAAAGGGTTCTAATACTTACTACTTAAGAGCTATGTGACCTTCAGCAAGTCACCTTTCCTCTCAGAACCTTACTGTCCTTTACTAAAATTCCTTCTGGATTTACCATTCCATAAACCTCACAGACTGTTCACAGACATTCTTAGGTAGCTTAATGCCATACCTTACAGATGTCC